CCATGCTGCTAAAAGAACCTCACTGCTAACAGTACCATGCTGCTAACGGAACCAGTTGCTAAGAGAACCTCACTGCCAACAGAACTGCTAATAGGACCATGCTGCTGTAGACGTATTTCTTTTTCACTCTTGGTGCTTTGGTTTTGTATTTTTGTTGCATGCTTTGGTTTTTTTGCGAGTCGAGACGGTTCTTCTCGTCCTGAGCATTTCACTGCATTGTTGACCTTGTGTTGAAATGTTTTACACAATATATTCAAGATCTACGTCAACATGAATAATAACTTTTAACACTTTTTTTGGGTTCTGTGATTTGTCATGTAACCCTGTCTTCTCTTGCATCGCAGCACACCCATTCATTTTTGCTGAAGTATATCATTAAATTCTTACCAGGCCTACAGTTTAGCATAAAAATAGTGTTCAGCTATTCATGTGGGTTTCTGTAGGTATTTATCTGTGTTGTCTTTTTGTTTTACACTTTATTTGGCCCTGCTTTGTTCTGGGACACTAAACCCTTCCTGCTCGGCCTCTATTGTCATCAAAAGGTGCATTTCCTGTTAGTGTCTCGGTGCGAACAAGCTTGTGTCGGCTGAATGTTTCTTAAGTTGTTTTGTTTTCAGAGGAAGTGACAAATGCATGCTCACATTTGAGATGGATGCTAATTTTACCCAGTTTGCTTTGTAGCTCTGCTCAACTACAAAGTCTAGATGTGTTTTATTTATTTATTCCTTTGCCTATACTGGTACACATTATGATCTAGTGTGCTCCTGGACAAGATTATTTTTTCTATGGATTCCCATTGACGGATTGGTCGACAAAGGTAACTTTTGTTAGTAAGGGAACCTATCCCTATCCCAGCCTGAATGGCTTTGCTGTGCAGTCTCACTGTGGGATCCTGGGGGTCTCTGAGGTTTGGAGCTGCCTTTGAAACACTGCTGTGAAAAACCTGCTTTGCAAAAGCCACTCTAAAAAAAAAAAAAACCTCTCTGAAGTAGCGCTGTAAATGCAAGAGTGATGAGATAACCGTAGCTTTGTAAATTAGATCACTGACATTCACGAGAAAGACATTCCTCAGCAATGTTCAGGTAGCATTCAAAGGTCAAATTCAGAGATTTACCACAAATCACTCAATTTCAATTTTATGTTTCTATGTTTCAATTCCCGGAAGGAGCAGCACTTTTTAAAAACAGCACCATTTCCGAGGTGGTACTCCCACATCGTTGCTTTCCTGAGCATGGCAGCATGGATTACCAGAAAACAAAACACACAATGACAGCTGTAAAGAACACAGAACTCGGGCTAAAGTGCTTTTTTTTTTCCAGGGTAGGGCTATACCTGCCCCCTGAATGTGCCAAAGAACACAAAGCGTGGGTCTCTGAAAAGCAATCACCCATTAATGAAAGCAGTGATGCTCCAGAGACGTGAGCTGTCTGTATCTCAGACTCCAGCCATCTGATGAACTGTTGAAACCAGTCCTGCTGCAGGGCATTACTGCACGTCCTGCTGCGAGAAATAAAAAGTAATATAAGCACACCATCCAGCTATTAGGAGGTTTGCACAACCTCAGGCTGATTTATTGTGGTGAGCGATGAGTCAGATTTTCATGATGTTTAAGAAAGCAAAACATCCAGAAGTTTAGAAGTCAGTAGAGAGGCTTTGTTCACGTCTCAAATACAATTTCATAACAGAAAAAAATGGTAACAGGTTTTGAGAAATGACTTGTAGTTTTAAACAAGGAATAATTGATAAAACTGTTAAATTTACTGTCTAGAGCAGGTGAGGTTAACTAAATACAATAAAAGCTGCTAAGATTGTGGTTTAATATGATTTGTGAATATTGGTAAACACTAAATTATCTCATTAATAAAAGCTGGAAATTGTTGTGTACTGATGCCTCATTAAAAGTGAGGTGCTAGAGACGTATTTTGGTAAAAGTACAAACATACCGTATTTTCCACCGTACATGTCTCACCGCCCTATAAGTCACATCAGTACAAATATGTACAGCATAATAAAGTGGAAAAATCCATAAATACGTTGCTTCGCAATAAACGTCACATCTGTTATGTGTCACTGCTGACGCATTGCGTTTGTTACGCTTCACCACTGACAACCTGGAAAGTGGGTCGGTGTGCCAAAAATCGATTGGCTGCCAAAAGGCGGCCGCGGGAGCGTGCGCGGGAAGAATTTTAACAAGAATCTAACAAGATTAACACTTAAAAACAATTACTTGTTTGCTCAAAATTATAGTAAAGGTGTGTCTCAGTCTAACTTTTGCTTAATAAATGCACATTGACGGTCAAAACAGGTGTATTTCAAAAGCTGATTCGCAGAAGTAAGAGCATGCACAGGAGGACTCGCTGTGTATTTCTTCGAAATTTAACAAGATAACCACCTAAAAACAATTATTTGTTTGCTCAACTTTATAGTAAAGGTGTTTCTCACTTGAACTTTTACTTAATAAAAGGACTTTAACGGTCAAATCAGCTGGATTTCAAAAGTATTCGCTCCTCCGGGCTACGGGAGCGCACAGACAGAGAGGGAATCCGGAAGGAGGAACGCTGCGCATTTCTTCGAAATTTAACAAGATAAGCACCTAAAACAATTATTTGTTTGCTTATTATAGTAAAGGTGTGTCTCAGTCTAGCTTTTATGTAATAAATGCACTTTAATGGTCAAATTAGTTGCATTTCGCTGGGGAGGCGCAGCAAAATGAAGCTGATTTATGGTTGCTCCATGTGAGCTGGACAAAGGTGGCAGTTTATGGCAAGCTGATTATGTCATTAATAGCTATGACACAACGGCATGCCATACACTCGAGTGCCATCCAGCAACTGAAAAGGGTAGTGTTCAATATTTTCAGTCAGAATGAATGAAAACAGTCATATCTCAGCCAAAAATTGGTTTATAAATATGGGGGAAAAAATCTATAAATATGTTGCTTTGGCGTATAAGTAGCAGGACATGCAAATTATGCAACAAAAGAAAAAAAAAAAAAAAAAAACGAGACTGATAGGGTGAAAAATACGGTATACTGAGTCTTTTGATGCATTTAAATAAAATGTAATAGACATTATTTTACAAAGGTTTTCAAACTGGAATATCTTACAAAAAGATTTGAAGCTCTCGACCTTGACCTCTCTAAATGGCTTTAAGAATCTGTTGGACTCCTGGCAGGGACCAATGCAGACATGTTCCTGTTTTTAGTTTTCTACATTCGCCTTAGAATCTAGCTGTTTTTTGTTGCTTATCTTTTTTTAGCCATCCTATTTGTTAAAAAAAAAAAAAAAAAATTGTATGACTTTTTATAACTGTTTATTGTTGTCGCTGTTGTCCATTGTTGTCATCATTCTTTGTTAAAATCAGGTCTCTCTTGTAAATGAGTCCTCGGGGCTCAATGGGATTTACCTGTTTAAATAAAGGTTGAATGAAAAAAAAAAGCGATACACAATCAGACAAAATTATGTATTCATATTATACAGTAATGTATAAAATATAGCATTTTTATTTTATTTTATTTATTTTTTTTGTCGTTTCAACTCAAAGACTATAAATAACAACTTTCTAAATCTACTTCTTTTTGTACAAATTGACAGTAAAACAGAATCAGGTTTGCAGGTGGTGCCATGTTGTATTTTTGGATCCAGTCTGCACATGGAACTGGCTACGTTTGTTCCACATCCCGTGAGTTTTTAATCATATCTTTTGTATCTATTATTCTATGTTAAAGCTGCAATATTTCACCCACATTCATAAAGATATATTGAAATTTTACAGCTTTTTAGTGGCCGATACAGAATACTTTTTTTTATAAAGGAAGCAAGTGGCCCGTTTAGGTGCTAGTTTTTGCCTCATAAATAAGCCAGTTTAATGTTCATATTTACACTTTTTAAAGCAATAATGAGTGCCTGCAATTAACTCTAGGGCTTCATGTGGATCGATTACGTTTGCCGAAGACACAATGAGGGGAATTTAAAAAAGTAAAGTTATCCATATTTCTATGTAATAGTTAAGTTAGAGTAACATTATGGTCAATTTCCTGTAATGTCTGTGGTGTTATGCTGAAAGAAGCGCCCCGTCATGAAAGACACCACTGTCACAGGAAGTGCACTGGCTCCACGGTGTGTCACGGGTAATATCAGTGTGCTGCACACGGATGTGTCAAACTTTTATTTGGTCCAGTATACTCAGCTGTATCTGATGGTGTTCATTTAAAAAGAAGGAAAAATCATCCCAATTATAAAGCTTGAACTGTCCTGTCTGGCTGTACAGGTATTGGGGATGGGGGTGGAGGGGTTTGACTGAGTTTGGGTTTACAAACAAAAGTATCAAATGATCTTGGATAAGTTTAAAGTGGTCCAGTCTGATCCACTAGTCTTGTATAGAATCAATAGTCACGATGAATGAACAAACTGAAGTGTAAACCTACATACCTGACTCGTCTTTGCTGCTTCTTCTCTCACTTCCAGGAAGCACAGCCTCCACATCCAGCTTCCCAAAACGGAGAGCATAACCGTTCATCAGCTTTTTGGGGATGTTCGTTGAGCCTCCAGACGACGATCGCTCCCGGTGGCCCTTAACCTGGCCGGCCTTGTTAGTCCTCTCTAGTGACTTGGAGCGTCTGTCTGATCGCCTCTCAGAAACCCGCAACCCCCTCTGGAAGTAAAACAACGGTGTGCTGGGTCTGGAATCGTCTCCACTGAGCCAGCCTCGACTACCGAACCTGCGGGATAAGTGTTCTCTGGGAGAGGTGCGGGTGTCGGGGCTGCTCCCTGGTGTCACAGATGTTTCTCTGAGTCCAGGGCTTTCCTCCAGTATGGATTCAGAGCTGGATCCCAGGGTCATGGGGTTCTGCAGGGCCTCCATGTAAGATTTCCTGAAAAGTCTCCTGCTCTCAAAGGAAACAGTGTCTCTGGGTGTACGGCGCAAAGGGCCTGGATTACTGAGGTCGGTGCTAAAAGAGAACATTTTTGACCCTGCAGCTCTTTCGCCACTGGCCTCATCCCCCGGTTCTTTAGCACACTCTTCTCCGGGTCTTTCTATCTTAATGGATGCAGAGGGGTCCGACCTGTTGGCGTTCTGTTTCTCACTGCTGGAGTCCACGTGAATCCCGTTTGGGGAGGTGGGCTCGGAGAAAATGGAGTCAGCTCCTAGAGAGTGCAGGGACTCTCTAGAGCTGCGGTGGCTGTCCAGAGTCCCGGTAGATCCGCTGGTGCTACAAGTGCTTAGGTGGCCACGAAAGCTACTTCGGCTACATCGAGTCTGCATGATGGCGTCCGCTGTGCTGTTGACAAAGAGCGGGTTGACCACGTTCTTCCACGGCGTCCTGTAAACAGCCGTGCCGGTAGTGAGCAGACAGTTCTGTAGTGGGTGCAGGTTTCGGTCACGCGTTACATTCTGCAAGAACTCAGCTGTGAAGACACTACCATACATGCTCTCTGAAATGGGGATCTCTGCAACAGCCTGCCCACTGGCCGACAGGCATTTTATCACCAGCTTGGCAGCTTTATGGCCCAAAGGAACTACCTGTAGGTAGAAGTCTCCTTGCTTTAGTCGAACTTTGTGCAGAGGGGAAAGCTGCAGGATGACTTTCTCATGAATGCAGAGAGGCCACCCCTCGTGGTAGAACAGCAAACCTCTGAACTTCACCTGAGAGAAAAACAGAGACGTTATTTGAACGTGACAGTTCACATGTAGTGCCGCTCGCGTCATTTCAGCTTACATCTGCAAAGCTGTGCTCAAACACATGTTGAGTGGTAACGGAGAGTCGAGTTGTTTTTACGGGACGCGCCTGCTGAATCACGCTCACAGATCATTCAGCTAATGACAAGAAAACCTGTCTGATCAGGCCTGGTTTCACAGCAACCGCAAGACAAATCTTTGCAATGACAGTGTAAAAAAAACAGATCCTGAGAGCACACATTCAGCGCCCAAGGGTTGGCTTTTCTTTTCACCTGATGGAAAGGAAAGACTGAGGATGTGAGCTCCCTCTGAAGCCTCTCATGTTGCGTACAATACAAAGACTCTCATGCACAGTCGGCTGTTCTCAGGGGCTAGGCTTTGGTGAAACCATTGCTCTGTGGCTATCGTCACAGTGTAATCACCAGAGAGATGAATACAGAGGAATAAAGTTTCAGTGCTTTGGTCTTAAGAGCCCAAACCCAGTGGCAATCAAAGAGAGAATATTAAATTTCACTTTGTATCCAAAAGGATGGCAGCCTCTCAAACAGTTTCCCTCTGTTTTCACATACAGGGGAGGGGGAGGGGGGGGGGGGAATCTGCTCATTTTCTGCACAATAATCAACTCTGTCTCAGCGTTATCTTTCCCCAGTCAGGAAATATTACTCACACTCAGCAGCATAAGTTAGTAGGCCTTTTAGCTCTTAGACAGGTTTCGTCCTATGTCTTCACCACGACTGCACAAGATTAGGAAAATATGCAATTGCAATATTGTTTGCGAAGATTGCAATATTATCTGTTGCAATGAACCCACATTTTCTTAACTCATGTTTTTGCATCTGCCATAACAACACGTGTTTTAAGATTCTGGTTGTTGGCTTCTAAATCAGGTTGGGACCATTTAAGGCGCCGGATGTCCATTTAGAAACTGATTGCATTATGCCTAAAATCCATGACTGAATTAGGTACTCACGCAGCTCTCCTTTTGGATGATCTGCAGAATCCTTTTGGCAGGAAGCAAGAAGTCAATGAAGCAGCGGAGGCCGTCCCCACGGTACTGTCTCTCCACCACGCTGAAGAGCTGCCAGAGGACGGTGGACGCAGTGGCACAGAAGGGGCGATACAGGGCAGACAAGGTCTTCTGGATGCAGGTGTCTAAAGACTCGGCATCCTGGGGTGAAATAAGAGACGTGTTTAATCACGTTAACTAATTAGATTAGCCGCGATGCTCTAAGAAGCAAACATCCAGAGACATTTTAGATTTGGGCAATGAAGACTTGGGTTACAAAGGAGGAAATAACTGAATACTTCTTTCACACCAGTAATTGATTCCAAGTTGTTGTTGTTTTATTATTTATGTAAAGTAAGGCAGTGTGCTGGAATCATTGCAGTCAATGTGTTTCAGTCTTTTCAGAGAGTGGAACTGCGCTGCATTTTTACAGGAAACATACCGGGTACTTTTCTTGGGACCACAGGTTATGAAGAGTTTGTTAGATTTCCTGATGCATGCTCAATAATCCAGGTAGAAAAATCTAACGAGGTTAAGTCATGTCCTCTGGGCAGATTCTTGTTTGTTGACAAGAATCCGTCCAGAGGACTTTACTTAACCTTATTAGAGTTTGTTAGATAGTAATGTAATTGCTTTAAAGCTGCTAAACTACCAGATAAACATGTCAGTGGTACTGGCATCAGGACTCCACCATGGGTCATGAAACACCAAGTGGGGTTTTTAAGAAGATCTTTTTAAGGACTGACAGACATATTTAGACTTACCTGTTATAAAAATCTAAAAACGGTTCTTAAAAACAGATCAGAATGTAATTTAATGATCGATGAGTCTCTGTTAAATGCCTTATTAGCGACGCTTGTACTTTACCCACAATATTTTGGGTCAGCTGTTCCTTATGGTAAGATAATACTTCAATATTACCTTTACACATCAAAAGATCTGAGCTATCCCTTTATGGCTGCAGGCACGTGATTAAGTGTGCACGAGCCCAGTTAGCTGAACAGGCAGGAAGTTTGAGCGTCCCATTAAAGGGAAACACCTGGTCGGAGCGACGTCACCGGCGTCAAACACAAACAGCCAAACTGGAAAGTCCAGACTGGACTCCTGTTTGTGGGGCAGGATTATGGAACAATATGCTCCAACAACAATCACGCTGTCACAGAGTATCATCTGACTCACACAAGACCTGCATTGCCACAGTCCAACTCCAGCAGAGCAGATGGAATGTCCAACACCACCAGTTTGGACATGTGAAATGGGACATTTGGGATTACCTCAGTACTGGAGACCTGGTTGTGTTCTTGGTTCAGGCTGTGACTTTCCTCTGATAAGTCAGAACCAAGGCCAAACATCTCTTCCACTATCTGTCCTTCCTGAGTGGAACAACAGTGGAACAGAGACATCTGTCTCAAACGATAAGCAGACGGATAAACAGCTGAATGCCAGCGAGAGTTGCACACTATAACAACCATGTAGCGTGTAGAAGAACGCACAATCTGCAACTCTTCACGGCTGTTTTGGTACTTTCACTTGTTGCATTCACATGCTAATCAACACACATAAATCACAGTCTAGAAATCATACGTACCAGACAGCCCATGTTTCACCTTTTGTAGGATCTACCCCATTGACCCAAACAGTTCAGCACCATCAATTAGAGAAGAGTAAGTACAAGTCAGCTCGTTCAAGTCACAACTGCTACAAGGCTCGCATTGTGCCCTCCGCCTCTCTAAGGTCCATGTGCTGTACAGTGTCGGTGCCCGGGAACAAAAACACCCACTTCCATCAGCAGCCAGCTTGCTTTGAGTGAGACAAAAATTTATCTGAGCTTTTGTTACTTGTTGTGCCAAAGATGAGAAGAATAGCATGGTGTTTTATGGGAGGAGGCCTAACAATGGGAGGAAAGCCCTTGCCAGGACTGACGAGCAAGTTTGTCTTCAGGTTTCCAAGATAAAAAAAGAAACAGTAACAGAAGCAGCTCTTTCAAGAACAATTACGCAACAGATTTACAGTGTGATCCAGCACAACAGTGTTGACATAAAACTGAGAGTGAAAAAAAAACACATTAAAAACAACCGGATGACTTCACATGTATGTTCAGGGTTATATCCAATGTAGGCTAGAAAAATGCATTTTCTGTTAAACTGCAGTGTGACCACAGAGCTGAATAACAGCCGAACTTTTCTTATGAGGCTGAAGTTACGATTTTAAAGCTGAAAAGAGATAAAAATAAAAAGAAACTAAAGTAGTGCAAGACTAAATACCTAAGAGTAAAATGCTAGGTAGAAGTAGCAAAGGTCTAGCTTAAAGCTAAAATAGATAAATGTTAGCTAAAAGCTGAAAGGATCAAAAGGATGACCAAATGCAGCAAAAGACTAGCTTAAAGCTAAAAGTAGCAAAAGGCTAGCTTAAAGCTAAATGCAGCAAAAGACTAGCTTAAAGCTAAATGCAGCAAAAGACTAGCTTAAAGCGAAAAGTAGCAAAAGGCTAGCTAAAAAGCAAAAACAGGTTAGCCAAAAGTTGCAGAAAGATAGCTAAAAATTAAAGTAATAAAAAAGGGATATATGTGTATGTATGTATGTATGTATGTATGTATGTATGTATGTATGTATGTATGTATGCATGTATGTATGTATGTATGTATGTATGTATGTATGTATGTATGTATGTATGTATGCATGTATGTATGTATGTATGTATGTATGTATGTGTATGCATGTATAGAGGTAAACTTTCAGAAGAACAATTGTACAGTTTTTATTGCATTTATCATTTACACTTATTGGGAAAATATTTGTAAAGTTAAATATTTTGAAAAGTATAATAGTTACAAAGACTAAAAGTCACAACACCCGAATGAGCTGAATGTTTTGTTCATGAATGTCTAAATTAGCACAAAGTGTGCAGAACGTAGAAGTTTACAAATTAAAACAAGTGAACCTTCAAATATTCTGTAGCTGAAGTTTGGCCTCTCATTCAGTGAGCTTTCTCACTTCAAAACTAGAAGTGTGGAGCTCAAAACTTTAAACTCTATGAGATGCTTGTTTTACATTTTTTAAGATTCATCGTGTGTCGACAGAGTAACAAATTAGGCAGAAGTAGTTAGTTTGAAAAATCGTACAAAAACATGAACAAGATGACAACTTACTACTACTTAGACAGTATTTTGCATGAAGTAAATCAGACCCCTTCATTCTAGTGAAGAGTTGGAGGATTTTTCATCTTTTTGCTACAAAACATATTTGCATATTTCAGCAGGACGACTGAGTTTAGCCACCAAAGCTGAGCTTCCCATCTGCCCTGAGCCACACAGGAATGCAGTCGTGTGTGTCCAGCTCCAGAGGTTTTGGGCCAGGATGGGAGCAAAGCGGGAATTCCCACCCTCTTCTGATGCCAGGTCTTTGTGAGTGAGCTGGCTGTGTGATGGAGGGCCGAGGTGGTAATTATTGGGTTTAAAGCTGCAGGTGGGACAATACTGTCTGAGCTGTGTGTGGGGGAACAGCCGTTCAAGGGGTGAAGGCACAGCAAAGCAAAAAGTTCACGTCAAAGCCAGGTTGAGAGGAATTAAGTACTTTTTTCTTCTATTTTAAATGCTGTATGTTTTGATGAATTGATCAGAGGATCCACATCCACAGGTCTCTCTTGTAAATGAGTCCTCGTGGCTCAATGAGACTATCCTGTATAAATAAAGGTTGAATGAAAAAAAGGAAAATAATAGAAAAATAGTGAACAAGGGAGTGCATCACTGTGACAGAGGAAAGTGAGAGACAGAAAGAGTGAGCATGAGGTAGTCACTGACACATTTAGTGGGTCAACGACACAAAAGAAGTCGCCTACCAGGCCTTCAGTGGAGCATGAAGCAATTGGGGGGGGGGGGGGGGGTGACTAACAGGAGAGCCCTGAAGCCCACATACTAGCCCACTAGCTAAGCTGCTAATGTCCTCGGGGGCAGCAGAACCACAAAATGTGCAGGTTGCTCAGACATGCCCAGGTGCCAGGATGCCAACAAAGCAGCCTGGCGAGACAAACCCCCACTCCCACCCCATTTCCTGGTGAGCAGCAACTTCTCTGATTTGCACCAAAGAAAATCCGATCTCACGAGGAAAAAGAAAAGATCAAAGGAACACAGATAAATTACACATTCTATCTTTAGCTAAGTTATCGAGCTTCATGCTCAATAATCCAGGTAAAACATCCAACCATGTTCAGTCAGGTCATCTGGACAGTTTCTTTTTTTGTTGTTGTTGAGATATTTTGCCCTCCATCCGAAGGGCTTCATCAGTCTGAGGAGTCCCAAGCAAACTGTTTTCCCCACTAAGCAGCACACTCCTACAGTGGACCAACCAGTTTGCTGGTGATAAGATGGTTTCTGATGAAGCCAGAATGTCCAGATGACCTGATTGAACGTTGTTTAGCTAAGTTAGTGAGATAAAAACGATTTGTTTTGTATTGCCTGCTTATTCCTGCAGAAATCTTGGCTCCTGTCTGCTGGAGGTGCCCCCAAGCTGCACCAGAAGTGCTACAGCTAGCTGCTGTTGCTAAATGCCCATAGTATTCTATGTAAATACCTGTGTAACGTGACACGGGGGTCACTTCAAGGTGGCAGCAGTCCACACTGGTCAGTGTTGTGTACGTGAACACAACGGAATGAAGCCAATTGTCCTTTAACTCACCTTCACATTCATAAAAAATAACAAATATATTTCAGACAATCTTCAGATTGGAGCGACTTCTTACAACAAACGCATATAGCAGCCTCGAGAGGGTACTTTAAATAAAAAAAAGATTCCCACAGTAATTATACTGATATTTGTCATCAGTGGGGAATAATGACTTCATCCTAGAGGAAGTGACTAGCACAGACAGGATGTTGTCTCCGAGTTGCACAAACAGACCTCACTGACACTATGAATGTATAAACACACACTTACATGGTTGATAAAAGGAAAACACCATCATTGAAGTCATTGTAGTGAATGGAAGTCCTGCAACCAATCAGAGTTGACTCAAAAGGTCACTGAAGGTTAAAAATATAAAAAGGTGCGTTTCAAAAACAATCAGTAGGCGATAACAGGACGGCATCTCAGAGTACGTAAACTTAGTGGCTATTATATTCATAATAATAACTATTGTAGAAAGTAATGCAAGCCTGTCCTCCCTCTCACACGCTGCACGTGTAAAAAATGTTGTGTCTATAGACCAAGCAGCCAAAATATCAGCTGCTTGTGTGCTGCTGCATGAAAAACATGCACCTGTGGAATGTGTGCAATGACACAAACTGTACAATGAGGTTAGTAAGCACTGGCAAAGACAGGCGAGAATCAATACAGGACAAGAAGTGTGTATTACAGTGACATCAAAATAATCAGCAGTGTCCAATTTAATCACAACAGAGACAAGATATGAGGCTCGTACCTTGATGCTCAGGTAGTTGTCACAGCTGCGGGACTTGGCTCTGGAGTGCATTTTACCCAGCAACAACATTTAGACACCAGAGGAAATCCAAAAGTTCAACAAAGAAATGCATCAGCTCCATCCAAGCGACAGGTGAGGTAATCCACAGTCTGAGTGTCGTAAGTCATAATCAACAGGTTCAGCACCATTTTACCTCTCCTGTCACTGACACAGTGTGTGTGTGTCTGTGTTGTGGGGTCGGCAGCTGGAGCAGACTAAACTCCAGAGCGTGAGAGAGGCAGAAAGCTGGATTTCCTTTCCTACTGCATAACTTCCCCCGCCCTGCTGCTGAAGCCTCCTCCAGCTGAATAAATGCACACCACTGCAGCTCATCGTTCAGAAAACACACACACTAACCTGGAACCCCCCACGCAAACCCATCTCTAAACTCCTCCCCGACCCCTTTGCAACCCTACCTCCATCTCTTGCCTCAATGGTCCCTCTTTGTCCTCACAATGGACCAACTAGGGTTTCAGCTTATTCTGCTGCTTTTCAAAAGGAGAAAGAAAGGAAGACATCAGCAGCAGACTGGAGGCTCGGGTCACTCACTACCATGGCATTCCCCTTAAATATTGTCAGGGGGAATTGTCCAAATCCTTGGACTAACTGTTACAAACCCCTGATTTATGTGGAGCCACATCATGTCGCAGGAGGTATTTCTCAAACAGATGGAAATACTTGGACCTAACTCACAGTTTGTTGGACTGAACAGTAGCCATTTCCCATTTCTTCCTAAACACAGGATATCCTTGTTCAGGAAACTAATGAGAACACGTTGTGTGTGGAAATGTGAAAATCATATTAAGCTAGCCTGTCCAAACAGAGACATCAGTGAGGATGGGTTTCTAATTAGAGATGTGATTAAAGCCACATTAAAAACTGACCTGAGAAAGACAAGACCCACAGTCGCTGGCTGCAGTCACACAAAGCACATGTCAACAAAGACATCCAGAAAAATGTATACCTTCATATATGGCATGGCTGGGAGAAATAAATAAATAAAATACTGTACATGTTCTTTAATTTCAAAGAGTCTACATTTAGCCTGGCTGAACTTAAGTCTTCTGTCTGCTCTATAATCATCCATGTAAACAGAAGGACACATACCTCACATACACACGCCTCCTCTCTACACTCTTGTAATGTCTTTGACCGGAGCTATAA